CAGTGATCTATTAAATTCTCCTTAAGGTCACGTGTATTTACTGTTGTTCGCTATTTACTAGATTTTCATTGGCTGAAAGTTCGCCGTCTCACTACTTTTATTATTGCGAGGACAAAAAATGCTGTCGTTTAGATTATTTGCTTAAAACGTTTCTGGCACATAAATTGGAGTGTGGCAGTTTTGTTTACAACACATTAGGGTTATTTCTCGAGAAATAAATATTAAAACTTTCCACATCGGTGAGTTGCAACGACTTTTGAAAACTAAGCTAGTTAGAACTTCCCAGTCCTCCGCCTATTGTGTTAAAATTTAAAGCACGGGGTCTCTGCAAAACAGTATGAACACTGAAAAAAACAACTTGTGTCTCTATTTAACAACAGAAACTTGTGTTAAAATATATAAAACAACACAAACTTGTTTGAAAATCTACAAACTTGTGTTAAAATTTCTGAAACTTGTGTTGGAATTTCTAAAACATGTGTTGGGATTTCTAAAACATGTGTTGGAATTTCTAAAACTTGTGTTGAAATTTCTGAAACTTGTGTTAAAATTTATGAAACTTGTGTTGTTTCTTGCAAACTTGTGTATAACCACCAACAAAACTTGTGTGGTATTTAACCAATTTATATCCAGTATAGCAGCCTTTTTAACATGCAGACCCTCCTTGTGTTCCGTTTTAATAAATGACATGACAATAATTTTGTGTTAAATTATTATTTATCCATAAAATGATTATTCATTCATAAAATGATATGAACAATTAAATTAATGCCAAATCAAAAATAAACAGACATTTTGATGGGTAATAAAAACAAAGTAAATCCAATACTAATAAAATTGTGATATATAATGAAAAAATACCCCCCCCCCCAAAAAAAAAAAAAACAAAAAGAAAAAAAATTAAATAAAATTAAAAAAAAAACCAAACAAATCATAAAATAAACATAGCCATTAAAATTGAAAAAAGGTCTCAAAACAAGTACGAGACATTTGGAATACTAATAAACACAGTTAATTCCAATACTAATAAAATTGTGTTATTATAATATAATAGAACAACATATCCCCCCACACACCCCACACCAATAATAAAAACAATTTAATTTTTAGTGTGAATCTGTGATATATATTGTGTTTTGTTTATAGTATATAATGTATCGAAGAGTCCAATTATTACTGGTGTATCTCTGACAGCTAAAATATTAATTAATGCTGCATGGGTTGCTCTCACTCTGTTAACAGGGGAATCTTATCCGACCGTCATAAGGTAATTATTATACAACTCTTTGGCAAAACGATCACATAAATTAAAGTTACACCAAAGCTACATTCAACGTTAAATATTATATTATTACTATCTTCAAACAAGACAACCGTTTACCTTACATCTAACCCAGAGATCAATCGGATCTTGACGGAGATCTCTCCTCTGCTTTTTTTCAGACTGACGATTGTCCTGACGTTCGTTAGGCTACAAACTGGTGAGCTGTTAGCCAATTTCCTCAATACTGCTATAATGACTAACGTTACATAATAATAATACGTCATCAAGAATCACTCAAGTTAAAAATCAATAATTTAATTTTAATTGTGTAACATGCGTCTAGTGTTAAAAAAGTTTATACATGAGTTATAATATTGATTATTGTTGGGTTGTTATTTAAATTAATATACTCAATGACTTCTATTTCAAGTTCAAATATGATATCGAATGACTTTGGAAGAAACGAAGGTTTCCGTAAGTAAGACGCTGGCTCTGTAATAAGGGGTATCGGATTCGATCCCGGTGTTGACAGAGATAGTTCATCGATATTTTCATGTCTGGTTTGCCATTGTCAGTGGTGTATGACAGAAGGTCTAAGGAACAGCGTCTATGACAGTTTGAAGTTCTGGCATTTACCACACTGGAAGGCGTATCCCCGTCTTCAAGGACAACTGTCTAGTCATTCGGATGAGACGAAAAACCGAGGTCCCTTGTACACATTGGCGTGCACGTAAAAGATCCCTTGACAGTTGGAATTCGATATAAGAGTAGGCCGTAGTGCCGCTGTCCGGGCAAAAATTCCCTCACAGCATACTGTATGGCGTATGCCCGTCTCCATTAGTCCAGTTAGGAGCAAAACAGCAGGACGTTAAACCCCATTTCATTTCATTAGCTCGGTTAATGTAGAAATGTAGACGTCACACCCCATAAACGATTTATGAAACGTTGTAAAATTTGTTGTAAAAATACTATTTCAAATGGCCTTTTTTTTAATATACAGCTCACATAATGTAAAATGACATATGGTTGTATTTTTACTTTACGTTTGATGTAAAATTACATGTGGCCAAAGAGGGAATAACCGATGTGGTCACTATTTGACAGTTAATTTACAATTTGCTATAAAAATAAAAATTCAAATGGCATTTCTGTTAATATACAGTTCACATAATGTAAACTGACATAATATGGCTGTATTTCTACATTACGTTTGATCATAGAAATATATACAGTATATATTTCTATGGTTTGATGTAATCTTACATAATAGTCGGGTAAAGATAAGCCATATGTGAAGTGGATAGCCAGAACAAATTGCAACATAATATTTATCGATGGAATCTGGTAGAGGGGTCCATAAAGGTCCCCCAAACAAAAATCGAACAAAATAAAAAGCTAGGTTTTCGAGTAATTAGCATAAATCCAATATGGCCGCCATTGGCACCTTAAAACTCCAATATCTCGGGAATGGTTGAGTTTGGAGGGTGTAAATGTATTACGGGTAGATAGGAAAGTGGTACAGATCGCTCAGAAAAACAAAGCGAAATGACGTCCCTGTTACGTCATACCGTCATACGGCCAACAATTTGCATAAATCCAATATGGCCGCCATTGAAACTTAAAACTCCGATATCTCAGGAATGGCTGAGTTTGAAGGATGTAAATGTATAAAGAATAGATAGGAAAGTGCTACCAAAGAACTAGAAAAACGATGCCAGGTGAGGTGACGTCCTTGTGACGTCATAAGTCACACGGCCAAACATTAGCATGAATCCAAAATAAAAAGATAGGTTTTCGGGTGGAATGGCAAGAAATCAAATCATATACAACAAGGTAACAAAACAATAACTAATATGAAACCATCCGGCATCGCATTAGAAAAGTCACGTTATTCCTAACTTGTAAGTATTTACTGTCAAGCTTACTAATTACACTAATACATTACATTACTTGAGAACGACAAGAGGAACTTGTTAAAACGTAGTGTGAAATAAACTCAGTGATTGTTTTCCATATAAATTGTGTTTTATTATTATATATTCAATTACTAAATGCCGTAAAAGTATTTCGAGTAAAATATCTGACGGTTCAAATATAGTCGCATACCAAATGTTCCCTAGGCTTTTATTTATTTTCAATGTAATTTAAATAAATAAACGAAAAAATCATAAAATATCAATGAGATATAACATAATATAAAAATAGCGTGGTTAGACAGATTAATGGTCGGGTAGGTGTGACATTATACGCCTTATAAGCGTGTGTATCAGATCCACTCAAAGAATTTGATCGACATTCTAGATTGCTTGCGAGGTCCTAGCCACAGGCGCCTGTAACCTGGAAAATATTTCAAAAATAACATTAAGCTATGACTAAGTATATGTCTAAAGTGGTTTGATTCCGATATCTAACTCGGGGTCAATAACTCGCCTGAAACCGATTTCTGTAGATTTAATAATACCAAGGTTAGAAACGTGTTGGAATTAAATAATTGGGATCAAAGTTCACTACTCTAGATTTCGCTAACCTGTGACAATACTCACTAAATTGTGCTAGGTAGCCAATAGAGTCTACGATGTCTTTTTAAAATTATCCACGTGACCTTCTGAGTTAGAAATCGGAATCAAACCAGTTATTTGATAATTTCGCTTTCGGACATGGATGTAACAGACTTTAGACATATACTTAGTCATAGCTTGATGTCATCTCCACCATCGTCATGTGTGGAATTAATATCTCTGATGTACGCTAGAAAGGGCGTGATAAATGGGGATTAACGTTCAGTTGGCACAGTCAAGACAATGAATGAATTGGGGTTTAACGTCCTACTTTTCTGTTCCGACTTGTAAAGTTAAGGCGGGCATAAGCCGTATGAGGGAAATTTTGCCAGGGCAGTGGCACTGTGGCCTACTCTTATTTCGAATTCCATCTGCCAGGAGATCTTTTACGTGCACGCAAATGTATACACGGGACCTCGGATTTTCGTCTCACCCGAAAGACTAGACACCTGTCCTCGACAGGCCCTCCGTCCTGCACCACTGACAAGGGGAAACTTTTTCGGTCAATGCAGGGATCGAACACCCGACCTCCAAACTAGCGTCATACCCACTTAGCTATCCTGGCGACATTTCTGTACTGACAGATGGTCAGCATTTAACGACAATGACAATATTTATAGTTCGTAGTTTATTAAACTGGGTCCCGCGGTGTTATTTCGTTAGCATAAACCCCCAACTATGTTTATTCAAATAAACCCCCACAATACATAAGTGGGAGAAACGAATTTCATCCGTGATTATTTTTGTTATTTGGGAAACTGAGTACATGTACGTATGTTCAAGGACCACATGCCCAATTACCAGCTCTGCACCCCCCACCCCCCTGTGTATATTCTGATACTATGCACTCTTGCCACCGAATGAATCTTGTCCCCTGTAGTACATCGATCGCCAGTACCGGAGTATTATTTGCAATATATATTTTATAGCCATCATTACACTACATATAAATGTTACTTCATAGATACATACAGTAATAAAAAATTTACGTACAATTCAGCCGATTCTTCAAGTCGTTTTAGTTTTTTGTAACAACAGTAAATAGTTCATATTTTTGACTTCTATGTCAATTATTTGGTATTAAATATCAATATTCTTATTTGCTTTCAAATAATTATTATGAATCTCCATTAGGAATTGTTACATCTGAGTGCTGATTTCGTTCATGGATTTGGTATTTGTATTTTGTGATAGGCTGCTGATTTGTTCTCCAACTTGACTTATCGTCCTGTTTGATTCTGAGCTAATGTTGTAAATACTAGATTTCTTTCTGTATTTTCTTTCGTATTCCTCGGCAACTGTCTCAATAAGGTCCTCTAAAGCCAACCCCCTGGTTTCCTTCTGTAACAAAGCGCAGATACCACTAGATACCAACATAACAGCCAATATAATATAAGGTACCATTCTGTTACTTCCCTGTAATATAATTAGAATTTTATATAATTTCTCACTTCAGGTCTCAACGAAATAATAATTATATTGTAGTAATATCGTCGTTGTGACATTGTTTTTAAATTTATAGACAAGGAATAGAGATATAAGATGGTTTAAACAATATTTTTATCTTTACAAATTATTATCTATTGTCAGTAATTGTTTTGGAAATAGTGTGAGAATAACGGGAAAGGGGATCTAAGTTCAAGGGTAGATTGTGTCAAAAAAACATGTGACTGGAAATTTACCATTGCATTATTTGGTTTAATTATTTACATCATATTTGACCAATTAGATAATTGAAGGTCCAAAACCCAAACTACAAAACTGTCATATTGGTTGACGATTGTCAGACAACAGCTTGATTCCAGAAGGGGAAAGATGCAGTCTTCCTGGCTAGTGTTTGAAAATGACTTTATTCTATTATGCATTGTACCATATGTAAGAAGCTATGATATATAAAATGTAAAAACGAACTGTTCCATTGTTATTCCTGGAAAGACAAACGTCTTAAGAAAACAGTAAGAAGTAAATACACAACGTGAAGCAGAAGCAAAGACAGCTAGAGACAAATTCTAGACGATCACAGGGCTACTAAGATATGTAGAAAGAAAAGATGTATGGGTCATAACGTAGGATGTGGCGACCGGTTTCCAACTCCCGCTCTCCACGTCTGACAGACCCATGGTACTACAATATTTCTTAAATGAACTATCAAATATATACGGTTTAAGAACTTACCAGGCTAAAAATAAAAGGAGCCAGGATGCCACCAAATCGAGCCATTGTGTTGGCTGCGCCATAGCCCAAAGACCTTAAACAGAGTTGTATTAACAAAATATATAGGCCAATATAATAACTTTTCTTAATTAGCTGTATCAGTGAACCTCGTCGGTTACTAAATTCTGATATTTACACTTTTGTATTAACAAAATATATAGGCCTATATAATAACTTATCTTAATTAGCTGTATCAATGAATCTCATCGGTTACTAAATTATGATATTTACGCTTTTTTGTGTTTTTTTTTCTTTTTCAACATCAATTTTGAAATTGCTATGTACATGTATTGTATTTATATATACGAAACAAGTAAGCAAGTAAATAAATACCTGATGACAGTTGGATAGGACTCATTGCTCAACAAGACCAAGGATATCCACGCTGATTCAGTTAAAATCGTCGCCAACAACGACACACCAGTAATCAACGAGCTCTTTGATACATCATTTACTGTGGAAAATTATACAATTACGTATACAGTGAGAAAGGGCTGCATGGATTATCACCTACACGTGAAATTATTGAGTTGGCCATAGTGCATTATTAGCTTAAGGTTACAGTTTCCATAATAATGTCAAAACTTAAAATGATATCCCTCTTTGTCGATTTGCGGTTACGATATGCCTAGGGTTAAAAGTTTTATGTCTACCTATACTCGGCATTTATATATCAAAAGAAATTAGATGTGTTGCCACCTTGGAATATCGCTCAGACTAAAAGCTTTATACCAATATCATTTAAAAAAAACACATTTGTATTGAACCATCTGCATTATGTTCTATTTATTATTCATTGAAATATACATATAAAACTCAATAACCGAATAATATACATATATTTGTATGATATATTTGATGTACTATGGGTCTATGAGCTTGTATCACTGAATAAAGTCCTTTTATTATGTTCTTAAATAGTGTGACTTGAATGTGTTGAAGTCTTCGATCATGTCAGTAACATACAAACCTGCTTGTATAATTAAAGCAGTGATACAAGATGCTGCAGCTAGGAATAAAGCACCCGCGCATGTATAACGTCTTCCTATTCTGTAATACAAATAAGTAATATATCAGACAGTGAGCGCTTAACAATGTTTGGACCTCGCCATCATTTGCTTATATTTGCAAATTTTTCGTAATTTTTCAATGTTTATTGGTTTGTCTCTGGATTTATTTTTGCGAAAACGATTTGTGGTTGATATTTCTATTGCATTTTAGTATACTTCTGACAAATTAATATAATGCCACATTTGGGGCCGTCAAAATCCTGCAGTCTAGTCGATTTGTCAATATGATAACCCTAGTTTCTCATTTAATAACCATGGTTATTCTAGTTGAATACTGAGATCTTTTAAACATGCAGAAATTTGTTAAATCATCAAAACCAACAGCATGGGGTATCGATCCAATGCCGATAATCTATTTCTATCATAATGGATGTTCCACAGCCAATCATCACATCAATAAGAATATGGCGTCATAGTTTCACATGACTTGTGGAATATGTCCATCCTCGTTTTTTGAGTTCCTGGTTACAAATGCCACTGAAACGCATTATGGTACACGATTCGTGTACCAATGGTAAAATGTTTATTTTGTCTAAAATATTGGATATCAGACAGAAGCCCATTTGTCCCGGTAAGATTACAACATCAATGTTGATTTAAATTGGCAAACAATTCGTGTTTTCAATGTCGAATACTTTGGACGATATTGAGTAAGAGACTTAGCTACTTTAACAACTTACTTTTCTAAACAGTAAATGGTTGGAAAATATGTGGTTAACTCTGTAACACTCATCAGAAAAAAGTTCAAGTAAAAATTTCCAGAAAAGGTGCTGATTCCAAAAGAAAGTCCATAAGACGTTGCTGAACAGGAGAACCTGGAAAAATAGTATGACCTTCTATTAATTACATTGTTATTGATGAAGTATAGCGCCGTTTAACACGAGTCAAGAACACTTCAATTATCTTAAAGACATCGACCCTAAATATTATGGGATGCCTACTCTACAACTTAGAAAATGTCGGCACTTTTTCAGGAAACGCCATTAGAACAACAAAGATGTGTCACACATAAGTGACATTCGAAGCCGAGGAAACTTTCTGCATTAAAATATTAAGATAAATTTATTAAACTAAAGTGTCATCGTTTCGATCCCATGGCTCACACTTGACACATAGTCGCGTTGCATGCCTATAATATCATATCCCTCTCTTGCTCCCACCCCTCATCGTAACAACGCATTACCTCTTTGATTTGTGAGAGGAGGCTACCATAGTACATGCAGCCATGTAGCCTACTGTAGTAATCGTTAGAATTAGTTAAGCGAACTTCTGAATTGAAAGAATTTGTTTCGGATTTTCCGGATGGAAAAGGTGTATATGATACCAATCAATACAACCAAACTTAGTGTTAATCAGAAACGGGATTTAACCACGAAGTTTAATGGTTTAGAAAAAAAATCGGCATATCTGTTTTAGTTAATGTATCCTAATGAGGTAGAAATTTGATTTCCTTTCTTATTATTTTGAATGGTCACTTACCAAATTAATTGTATGCAGAGACTCTTCTTTAGCATTGGAAATCCTTTATAGATATCTAGATACGTATATTTCTTTTCCGTCCTGTTTTTCTTTTTTTCCATTTCGGCAACTTTTCTCAGAACATTTTCCGCATTTTCTGGAACCTTTGTACCATTGAACCTGGCAATTTTATCAAGAACTTCTTTTGCTTCTTCTGTTCTGTCTTTAGTAGACAACCATCGCAGACTTTCGGGAACTACACTAGATAATGTATAATAACCATCTGTATTAAAAATGAGAACTGATAATTATTTTATTAAATTGTTCCTTAAAATTTAATATTTCGGGAACTACACTAGATAATGTATAATAACCATCTGTATTAAAAATGAGAACTGATAATTATTTTAATAAATTGTTCCTTAAGATTAATATTTCGGTATGAAATATAACCTTTAATGGCACAATTTAGCACAATTTTCAACTTCCTTTCAGTGACGATGCTTAAGAACTGTTTACGAGTGATTGCTGTATTGTGTCAGTGTAGATGTAAATCAAATCATACTTACAACCATCCAAGTAGGTAAGGAGAGGACACAACCCCAAGACCAATATGTAGAGTTTTCCAATCACGTATAAGATAGGAAGCTAAAGCTAGAATGATAAGGCCAGTTGTCCAAAAGGGTATAGCAGATATTATAGCTCGATGTTGACGACCAACGAATTCCAGTGGATATACAACTGATACAAGAAAGGTGCCTATACACCCACCAATTAAGAATCTGAAAGCTGCAAACATTTGCCAGTTGACGGAAAAGGCGACAATTATGTTGAAAATAGAGTGAAGAAGAATTGCAGTATATATAGTTTTCTTTCTTCCAAACACGTCTCCTGATTGACCTCCAATTAAAGCGCCAACTAGTACCCCTCCCATTTGTACAGCTGTCACGCTTGGTTTAATCCAAGCATTTTCACAAACTAAATCAAACTGCAATTGAATAAATAAATAATTTTTTCAGTAAAGAAAATTATATATACTATTCAAAAAAAGTAGGGGATCTTTGATTTTGGGGGCATAATACTAAAATATGCAAATGACTACGAAAAAAGTCACTATAGAACCTAACAGAAGAAACATTTCCAGTTACATGTGACGCCCAAACGCACCAATAGCTACCGCATGGAATGCAGGTGATGCTTGGGATCATCATGGGGGTCCAACCCAAGATTTGCACGACTCTGACTTTGAATGTTACAGTCATTGTGGCATTGAATTCCAGGGTGGAAACATCAGTTTAATTGTTTTAGTGACCAGATAACAAATTTTGATATGCGTCGGCTTACCCAAAATGAAAGGTTACGTGCCCTTGGCATGCTACAGATCGGCAATGTTTCTCAGTCTGTCATAAGCAGGCTATGGTCCAGATACCGTGATACACAATCTGTACAGGACAGACCACGCTCAGGTCGACCAAGGGCGACAACTCAAGCCCAGGATCGATTTATCCGTACCTTGGCCTTGAGAAATCGTGTCATCACAGCAAATCAGATCAGCGCTCGTCTTCAAACAGACACTGGTGTGAGAGTGAGTGGCCAGACGATTCGGAATCGACTGCATAGGGGTCACCTTCGCGCCCGACGTCCTCGCGTGATCCCTTGTTTGAGAGATCATCACATTCAGGCAAGACGTCGTTGGTGTAGGGATCGTCAACACTGGGATAATCGACGCTGGAGCAATGTGATGTTTTCAGATGAGTCAAGGTTCACTGTTGATTTTTTGGACAGACGTAGGAGGGTGTGGCGTCGTCGAAACGAGCGCTTCCAAGACGTTAACGTCATCAGACATGATCGATTTGGGGGTGGTTCTGTTATGGTGTGGGGAGGCACCACTGTTGCTGGAAGAACGGCTTTACATGTTGTTGCAGGGCGTGTTACAGGCCAGTACTACCGGGGCAACATCTTGGCAGTCCATGTTGTGCCGTTCGCACGACGTCATGGCCACCGTTTCATTTTCCAGGATGACAACGCAAGATGTCACAGGGCCAGGATCGTTACAGGTTACCTCCAACAACAGAACATCACCACATTACCTTGGCCAGCACTGAGTCCCGACCTCTCCCCCATCGAGCATGTCTGGGACATGCTTGGACAGAGGTTACGTCAACGTCAACAACGTCCTGCCAATGTCCAAGAACTTGCTGCTGCGTTGCAACAGGAATGGGACAATCTGGACCAAAATGACCTTAGACGTCTCATTAGGAGTATGCCACGTCGGATCAATGCTTGTTTGGCAAACAGAGGAGGATTTACCCGTTACTGACTTGGTTGTGATGCTCTGGTAACTTTGCTGTTTGACCCCGGGTATCATTTTACCCTTATAATGGTCAGTCTGTGCCTTACTTAGTCTAACGAATGTGAACTTCATTTCATTTTGTCATTTGTTTCTTCGTCAGTTTCATTAGGTGACTTTAATAACACTTAAAAATCAAATATCCCCTACTTTTTTTGAATATAATATTATTTTCAGTTCAACCGCAATAGGGCGAATTATGTGAAATGAATGTTCACTTAAAAGCAATAGATTGATAACATTATACTAACGAATTAGGTTTCGCATAATTTTTATTTTCATAGTGATTTATCCTCGTTTGCAATTCATAACCTTTCATGTAAATTGCGCGCGTGATTTCTGTGAATAATCTAAAGAACATAAACAATAATGTGCTATACGGCTGCTAACAGGGCCTTTACAGTGGAATTGGAAGCAATGGAGCATGGGTGATTTCCGAGGAGGGTTTCTCCCGAGGCGTGAAACAATATTTGAATTTCGGACTTAATTACAGTAGATCTGGTATATAATACCGGACTCACAACTAGG